TAGGAGGCTGAGATTTGAGGATCACAGTTTGAAACCAGTCCAGGTAGAAAAGTCCATGAGACTCTTATTTCCAATTAACTATCAAAAAGCAGGAAGTGGAGCTGTGGCTCAAGTGGTAAAGCACTAGCCTTGGGCAAAAAATGCCAAGCAAGAGCACCCCAGCCATGAGTTCAAGCATCAGAATCAACACGAAATCAAACACATGGAACAACAACAACAAATCTAAATTATCGAACTTATTCCTAAATTGAGGTGTTGTACTGAAACTCCTCAGGGATCTTTTTTCAGACTTCCATGCTACATTACTCTCAATCAGAGCGCCGTTTATCATCAAATAGCAGCTAGAAGAAAGCGCCATTCTGCCTATTAACTGAGTACTTTGCTTCCTGTCATTAGGTAGTGAACTGGGGTGGGATACCTGTTTTCAGTGGCTGGACCCTGGGTGAGGATTGGCTGCCCACAAGGACGTAATTAGAGATGCCCTGCTATTCTTCAAATGTGCTACCTGCATCTCTACCTCTCCTCTAGCTGGGGACACTTGTTTGGGGGTGGAATACTAGTTGCTATAGAGCCAATGTAGGGTTCACATTGTCTACAGACTCATTAGGCTTAGAGTCTTTCTCTGGAGGACAACCGGACAGAGAAAGCTAGGTTTTGTTTTTTTCCAGAGAAACCTGCATCTTCTGCATAAGCTGATGTGCTATGTCCCTTGCTACTTTCTTTCCAGGTTGTTGTTACTGGTTGTTAGCTGGTTGGTTTTATTTTTGAGACTGAGTCTCACTTTGTTATCCAGGCTGGCCTTGAACTGCTAGGTGCGAGTGATTCTCTTGCCTCAACCTCCCAGAAGACCATCTTTCTGAGTTTATGGGTGATGTTGTCTGTATGGAATCCCTTGAGCAAGCCCAGAGTGAGCATGAGTTCAGTGGTGAAGAGCCTGAGCTCTGAGCTCACATCAGGCTTGGCCTGTGACCTGGGGTGTGCTATTTATCTTTTATGATTTCTCCTTCTTCTTCAAAGCCGTAATCATGTTCTCTTTCTTAATGAGAATCTTCAAGGATTAAACGGAATGGTTTGCATGGAAAGTACTAGATTTACTCGAAATACTTCATAAATGGCTCTGTTGCTCTAAATAGCCCTCTTCTGTTAGCATCCTTGCCCAAATACATGTCCACAGATACAGATATATGTAGAAACATACACAGATGAATATATATTCATATATACATATATACATACATAATACATATATACATATGTATACATGTATATCGGTATATAAAATGTATACAGATACATTTCAGGAAACGTAGGGAACCCAAATCATGTCGGAATTGTAGAGGAAGTAACTTCTGCTGAGCAATGACGGCAGTCAAGCTAGACCTAGTCAGGGAGTGATCTCTTAGGTGATCTCTTAGCCTAGCAGTAAAACAATCTGTTTCAAGTTCAGGGCCGTTAGAAGAGAGAAAAGCAATCAAAACATTGTGGGCCTACCTTGCTACAGATACAACAGCTTTAACCTCATACTGTGTTCTGTTTTCTCAGACATGAATGTAATAGTTTCTATTGTGTGTGAATCTGAGGAACCATGTATAGATCGAATGATTTCTATTCTATCTGAGGAATGTAAGAATGAGAGGAACATCATGGCTGGAATTGTCTAAGCAGTGTGTGAAACAGGTGGTGTTTGAACAGGGTTGATTTGTCTGTAAGGGTAGGTTGTTCTCATTTTCTTGTTGTGATTCTAATTTGATTTTTACCCTCCTCTGGTCCAGTTGAAAATTTCCCAATCCAGTTTCCTTGTATCTCATACCTACAAAGAGTAGCAATTTGACACTAGCCCAAACAACTTGAAGGACAGCTTAAGTTGGCCACAACATCCCGTGTGCTGGATATCTTGCTCTTTCCTCTACATCTGGTCCTTTTGGCCCCTTTTTGTTCCTTCAGTTATGGTCTAAAGTAACAGAATGAGCTTGAAAAAATATACTTTGGCTGATAAATGATGGAAACAGATTTCCTAATGTTACACTTTTCTATCTTAGTCACTAAGGTCTTGGGAAATTATGCTATAAAGCGAAGTGTCATTGCTCTAGAGCTTTTAATTGACATGTTAATTCAAGCTATGTTGATTCTTCTTCTAAAGGAGATGCAAAGTTCATTTCCATCAGCTTCAAAATGAGTCATTTCAAGGGAGCTTGGAAGTGTGTTATGTTAACTCCTAAGTAACATGCCTCAAACACTTCTTCCATATTCTGGAAGATTTTTAGTGCCTTATCATACATTTAATTTGTGATCTATTTTTGTAGATTTCTCTTGAAAAACTGTTGCCCTCCTCCTCCCCCCCAGATATTATCACATAAATATTCAAACTCTGTGAGCTGTCTCAAGTAATTTTCCTGCTAAGGATTTCATACAGGGTAACTGAAGAGACCAAGTGAAAGCAATGAACTTGGGTTATTTCCAGCCATGAACACAATTTTACATTTGTGAGATGTTTGTTTCTAAATCTATAATTCACATGCATCGACACATTCTTACTTTTTTTTCTTTTGTCAGTTGTGGGACTTGAACTCTGGGCCTGAGTGCTGTCCCTGAGCTCTTCAGCTCAAAGCTAGCACTCTACCACGTGAGCCACAGTGCCACTTCCAGTTTTCTGGTGGTTTATTAGAGATAAGAGTCTCACGTACTTTCCTGGTCTGGCTGGCTTTGAACCATGATCCTCAGATCTCAGCCTCCTGAGTAACTAGGATTACAGGTCACTGGTGCCCAGTGCATTCTTACTTGGAAAATCCTAGGCTCATAGGACAGGAACGCCTCTGAAAGATCCCATCAAAGTACACAATTTGGATTTTTTTTCAGGTACTGAGCTTAATTTTGTGGCTTGTTTCCTCAGGACAGAGGTTTTATTTTATTTTTTCCCTAGAAGCTATACTTCTCTAATGCATATGTAGTTAGCTTCTAGCTGACCTTGTGGCTGGACCTTCCTAGACATGGAACCTAAAAACTCATTGGTTTCCTTTGAACAAATGTAATAGATCCAGATATGAATGGAAGTGCTTTAGTGAAAAACCATTGTAGATTGGGCACTCAACAAGCAGTCTGACCATTGAACTTGAAGCCAGGCATCTTTCTAGGCTTTTTACCATGGAATCTGTTGCTGCTCACATTTTTCTGGACAAAGTTCTTTGTTATTTTTCAACAACAAATGACCTAAGTTATGGCCTCAAAATCCCTTGTGAGGAAAAAAAGGAAGGGCAATAAATGAACCAACTATTTTAAATAAGCAAGGTAATGTTTTCTCTCTTTTTTCAATCTTTGTGGTAGTACTAGGTCTTGAACCCAAGGCCCTGGGTGCTGTCCCTTAGCTTGTCTTTGCCCAGGGCTGGTACTTAACCACTTGAGCTATACTTCCTCTTCTGGCTTTTTGGTGGTTAACTAAAGATAAGAGTCTCATAGACATTTCCTGTCCCTCTTTCCCTCCACCCCCAGACTGGCTTCAAACCATGATCCTTATATCTCAGTTTCCTCAGTAGCTAAGTGTTAAGCATGAGCCACCAGCTGACTCTTCTTTTCTGTAGGTCACGAGGAAGGGGTCACCAAGTATTCGTCTGAGATGTATGCAGGTCACATACCCCTTTCTCAAATCTGAAAATCATGTAACAAATGAATGACACACGAAAGAAACTTCCAGATATGCTGCTCTAGATGAGAACAGACTTGCCATATTCCTTCCCCCCACACTTCAGGGCAATGACTTTTTTCCAACCCAGATAAGCCTCCTAGGCATCAAACACAGACTCTACTCGCTGCACTTGGAGGTGCAAACCTCCATATTTGTCTGTGGAGATAGCCAGGAAAGGATATTTATAAAATCCAGCAACAGTCTCAATTCTCTGTGCAACCCAGGCTTGTAATTACACAGGGCAGAGCTGAATGCTTAAACCCCCTCGATTTCCCTAAACCTATCCAATACATCTTTCCTCTCCCTACCTCTAATTTCAGAAGCTAAAAAAAAAAAAATGTCTTCCCAATGCAATGGATCATGGTAGATGAAGTCCAGTACCTGTCAATCTCCAGCACGGCTCCCATAAAATGTTCCTCCCTCAAATACTGCATTAGGTAAGTTAAAGGTTCATTAGGAATACATCTGCATGTTGATTGCTTCTCTGTGATACTGCTCAGCAAGGAATAAATGCCCAGATATATAGCACGTACAATTAGATGATGTCATGTATTTTAAATATATATATAATATAAATATAATACATACACCTTTGTGTGTAAATACTGTTACGTACAATATACACGTTTTCATTTCACCGTGGAATAAAGGCTGATAGCTTGATGGTTGTTGGTTAGAAATGTAGCCCCAGTTTTAGAAGCAGAAGAGAGCACCATAGTAACTACAGGGGAAGGCTTGGGGGTGGAGGTGGGAGTGTGTGGTGGTGGCGGCGGGGCGAGGGGGGGGGAGGTAATAACAGCAATGGGCGATCCTCGCAGTGCAAACATCTCCCTTTCTGAGTCTGGGGAGGGAGGGGGCACAGCCGTGCGCATTTGAATCCTCACCTCAGTGCTCCCCGACTTCTAGATACATAGTCAGCATGGTAAAGATAATACATTCGGAAACAGGGGCATTATGGCCCCCACCCCCGGCCCCGTGGCGGGGTATTGGCAGACGTGGTGCACAGGGCACCACATAACTAGAAACACACTCACACAGGTATGTCTTCCCGGGAGGCCGCCTTTAGCTCGAACCACCTTGATCTGGCAGGTATTCCCCCGCCCCCCCCCAGCCGAGCATGCACAGGAGTGCTCCCCAAAAACCCCAGGAGGAAAGGGAGGGAGGGTGTGTGGGGCGCAAGGAAGAGGGTCAAGCATTTGGGAGCAGCGGGGGGAGGGGCTCACCCCCAGCACCATCTTCCCGGCCTCCAATCGCCCATCGAGGACCCCAATTCGCTCCGGAACATCCGCATTATGTCTAAGCTCCTGGGGGCACAACTCACCTCCACGAAATAAAAGCAGGGCAGGAGGGTGACGCTGTCCTTGATCACTTTGCCCTTTGGCCTCTCCTTCGCCGACATCCCGGCTGCCTAAGCCAGCCGGATCTGCGTCGTCGTCGGCGGCGTCCTCCTCCTCCTCCTCCCCGGGCGCTGCCGCGCGAGGTGTGCTGCGCGCAGCCCGGCCCGCGAGCTCGCGGAGGAGCCGCCTCCTCCAGCCGCCAGCGCCCCAGGCGCGCGCTGATGTCACATTCCCCCGCTGGGGGCACCGCGCGGCCCCCGCCTTCCCCTTCTCCCCGCACCCCCTTTCCCTCTGGGCAGCAGCAAGCCCAAGGGCGGGGTAGGGTGGAGTGGGTGTGTGGGGGGGTGTCCTCGGAGCCCCGTTGGTCCTCTCCTTCTCCTGTTCCGGGCTCTCGATCTTGTGTTCCAGGCGAGAGATGTGCAGCTCACTCCTGCAAGCTGTTGCTGGAATGGAATGGCTTCTGCGGGCCGCCTTCCCTCCCTCCCGCGCCGGGCTCAAGCTTGACGTCAAGGATCGGGAAAGGGGGCGCACGCCTGGTTGCTGCAAGAGCAGCCAGGCGGAGGGGCAGGGGCACCTGGTTCTCCTCTGGGGGGTGGTGGTGGGGGGAAGGCTTTTGGAGATGGCTAACTTCAGGATGGCCGGGGAGCCTTGGGATGCCCGGAAGGCCCACCTCCACCTGTGTGACATAGAAACTTGGATGTCACATCAAGAAGTAGGGGGTGCTAGGAACTCACGCAGAGCTGGCTGCGGCCCAGGAATGCCATCTTCTCCCAAGGATGGAGATCTAGGCCACCCCTAAGCTCCCAGTGTTGGTTGGCAACTGTGGGACCTGGGGAGGGTTTGCTTTCCTGAGCTGCAAGGGCAGGCGCAAACGCATCTTCTTTGCGCACCTCTCCACCACGTGTCCCTCAGTAGAATGTCAAAAATACTCTCTTTAAGAAAAAGTTATTTAGTGTGTGTGTGTGTGTGTGTGTGTGTGTGTGGACTGGGGCTTGAACTCAGGTCCTCTAGTTCTTGCTTGATTTTTTTTTTCTTGTACTCAAGGCTGATGCTCTACCACTTGAACCACATTTCTATTTCGGTTAAATGGAGATGAGTCTTTTGGATTTGTTTTTCCCGGGCTGGGTTTGAACTGTGATCCTCAGATCTCAATCTCCTGAGTGGCTAGGATTGCAGGAGTCAGTCACCAGTCATTTTCCAGTATCTCCCTTTTTAACATGGGATGGCCAAATCCCTGCTCACTTTTCCCAGTCCAGTTTTTCACTTGCTGCCCTAGGTCTGGAGCAATATGGCAGACACTCTCCACTAAGATCCATCACGGTACTTGCTTCTTCATGCGCTCTTGCTACCTAATGACTCTAGGCCAGCTTGGGGGATAGAGTAAGACCTTGCTCCAAAACAGAACAGGTAGACACAGTCATGGGGCTTTATTCAATATGTTATTGCAATAGGTAACAGCAATGATACTAATCAAACTAGCTTATTTGGCTTGTGTGATAACTATTGTCTAGTCTGTTTTTCCATTTAGTTGATAATTTAGTTTAAATATACCCAGGGATGGAAAACAGGTAGCTTACTATGTTTTAGTAACTATTGATAAAAAGTTAGACATTAAATATTCTTGTTGGTCTTCAACTTTTGTAAGTTGAAGTTTTGGTTAAGATAGAGGGAGAAAAGGCAAATATGAAAGCAGATTGAGATAATGCCTAAAATAACGACCTAGTCAGATTTCAAAGGAACTTTGAGTTTTGTAATAGTCACTTTGGGCAAAGGCTCTTTTTCATTATTCATAAATGTATATCCTACATACAAAAACAAATCACACTTGCCCATGACCTCATCTCCCATGAGATTCAGAACCACAATCTTGAAATGGGATCTACTACTCACCATCTTAATATTCTTCCCTAGTTTGTTACCGCTCCAATTTCCCCTTCTCGCATGTCAAATCTCCTCATTCTCCACTAATTAATTCAACCCATTTCATTCAGAACACACAAGCTGTAGAGACTACATCATCTTCCCCAATTTACTACTGACCCTACCCCGATAGTCACCACTGTCTCTTGCCTGGCTTTGGAGGATTAATTACTTCCAAATTCTTCTCCAACCTTCCTCCCTTGCCATGTGCACAATTTATAATCCATTTCTTATACCATAATCAGCATGATGCTTTGAAAAATCAAATTCTGTCATTTTCCTGACTAGGAACTCTACAGGGTGTTGACTAGAAAACCCAAGTTCTTCATCTTTTCCTTGGAGCCTGCCTGATGGTGGCAGTTGGGTCTCTGATCTCATTTCCAATTGAGTCTAGCTTCTCACTGCTTCAGGGCATTTGAGCTTAGGCTTTATTTGTTCATGACTCGTTAGTACCTACACTTCATGGATAACTCCTCACTTAATTCAAGCCTTTGCTCCAATTGTAGCTTCTCTAATTTTAGCTGCTAATTTTAGAACTTCAGTGCAGTTGTCTATGACAGAATGTCTAAGTGGCATTTATAACCTCAGGCCTCCATTATTTTTTGTTAATATATTTTTTTATTGTAAAGATACTGTACAGAGGGGTTACAGTTACATGAGTAAGTGTACATGAGTGTACATTACATGAGCAAGTACATTTCCTCCAGAGCATTGTTACCCCTTCCTTTGTTTTTCCCCTACCATCCCTTCCCCCTTCCCACATCTTCAACTTTTCCCTCCTCCCCCAAGTTGTAAAGTTCGTTTTCAACATAGTCTCTCTCTTTTTTTATGAAAATAATGTACCAAGGGGTTACAATTACATGGGCAAGATAATGAGTACATTTCTTATCAAGCATTGTGGCCTCCTCCTTTGTTTTCCCTTCCTATTCCTTCCCATTCTCCCCCCCTACCCCGCCACCCAATCCTCCCCACCACCCCTCCTCCACACCAAAGTTGTAAAGTTCATTTTTTGACATAATAACTTGTACATCTCATTGTTTCAACATAGTGTCTTGTATGTCTCATTGTTACAATGGGCCAACCTGTATCCTTGTTTCAGCATTTTGTTATTTCCCTTCCCCTCCCTAAATTAGAGAAATGTATATACAAGATTCAGGAAACCGGAATCAAATACAGTGAAAACAGGGGTTATACCATGGGAGAAGAACATACAAAAGAAATCACATAGTACCTTATAAGTACTTTAAAAGCAACAGCAACAAAGAAAATACCTCTTGTGTCCCTATCTTGGGGTTCATTTCACTTAGCATCATCTTATATGGTCATATGTGCACAGCTTTTGCCCTTTTCTACTTATCTGGTAAGATTATCCTAGATGTACACTAGTTATTGCAAATAAGGGAAACCATGGGACCTATATTTCTTTGGGCCTGGCTTACTTCACTTTGTATAATTTTCTGTTATTCTTTATTCTTTCATGTTATTTTATTTCATACTGTAGAACTTATCATGATTTAATAATTTTTCAAATGTAATTTTATTATTTTTATTGCTGTATTGCTCTGTCTAGAAATTCAAGTAGTAGGTTGAATGGGAGTGGAGAAAGTAGACATCTTTGTCACATTCCTAAATTTAGAGGAAATAATTTCAGTTTTTCACCATTTAGTATGATGTTGGTTATAAGTTTATTACACATAGCCTTTATTATGATGACATACATTCCTTTTATTTCTCATTTCTTCAGAGCTTATACCACAAAAGAAAGCTGAATTTTGTCACAGTATTCTTCTATTTCTATTGAAATGACCTGTGGTTTTGTCATTTATTATGTGCTACATTACATTGATTGAATTGTATATGTTGAACTTCCCTTACATTGCTGGAATAAAACCAACTAGATAACTGCATGATATTAATCTGTTGTTAAAAACAGTTTATGAATGCTTAATTAAGATTATTTTCATCCATGTTCATCAAGCAGACTGGTTAATAGCTCATATTCAGAGCCTGAGCATTGTATCTTAGCCTTTTTGCTTCAGGCCGGCACTCTACCTCTTAATTGGAGATAAGAATCTCACAGACTTTCCTGCCAGACTGTCTTTGAACCATGTTCCTCAGAGCTCAGTCTGCTGAGTAGCTAGGATTACAGGTGTGAGATTGTTGTGTTCCTAAGAGTTTGAGTGTTAAGTCTCATAGAATGAGTTTGGTAGCATTGTGGTCAGTAAATGTTTGTGAAGAAATGAATAGATCAATTATGCTAAATGATACAAGTGGAGGAGTTTGGCTATAGGTATGCAACCTCAGTAGGTAGGAGGCAGAAGAAGGATGATTGAGAGTTCAAGAGTAACCTGAGCTACAGTGAGTTCAAGGTCAGCCTGAGCTACAAGGTAAAACCCTGCTCCAAAAATTAAAAAAATTAATAAATAGGCCAATAAAATCATGCACCATCTGTTTTCCACATACTCTGTGCTCAACAATTTTGGTTGATTCTGATAATTACCAGTTGCACCACCATATAACTAATGAAGTTACTTTGTGCATTGGGGGCATTACTTCTGTTTTTCAACTTTCTTGGTACATCAACAAAGTTTGTGATATCTGGTGTTGTTAAAAAGCAAATTAGAAAAATTCTAAGTCAAGCAACAATGTATGACCATGGGAACACAATGTTTTTAAGGGAAATTGAAACAAAAAGGAGAAAGATTGTATCTTTCTAGTTTCATTATCAACCACATGTGACAATATATAAGAGATACACCTTGATACAGGCTGACAACACAAGAGATCATTGCAATGTCAGAAAAAAATCTTTCCCTCCTTGATCTGCCAGCATTGTTGGGAATCAGGAATTCAAAACCTTTCCTATTGCAAATCCATCAACCCTCCTTAACCCAGATTTTCCTTCCTTTTCTCTTGCCTTTAAATTTTAATTTTTTAATAGTTACATGAGACTACGTTCTGATGACTCACACCTGGAATCCTAGCTACTTAGGAGGCTGGGATGTGAGGATTGTGATTCAAAGCCAGCTTGGGGCAAGAACAGCCATAAGACTCTTATCTCCGATTAGCCACCTTAAAAAAAAACAGAAAAAAAAAGAAAAAAACAAACATACAAAAAACAAACTGGAAGTAGACTTGTGGCTCA